TATCTTCTGTGTCTGTGTTAATTGGTTTCCCTTTTCTTTGTTGAAGAGGGTCTGTGCAATCCTTCTGCCTAGTCCGCCATATTGCCCCGCCTCAGCCCAATTGGTTTTGAGACCACTGTCCATTCTGGTTAAGAGCTGTAAATGCTGCCAGGGACCAGTGGGGGACAAATGATTTTGAGCAGCTGCCTCAGGGACTAAAGATATTTTTTGAGTATTTGAGGTTCTAGGGAGTTCCTCTGAAAGGAACACTAGCCTTTTTTTAGAGAGATGTCATAAAGAAGTAGTTGTTAAAAGTAGCCAACTTACCTTGTTTGTTTTTCCTTTCAGGAGCTTATTGATGTCGACAGTGAAGTGGTATTTGAATTAGCTTCCTATATTTTACAGGTGAGTTAGTCTCCCCTCTTATCTGTATCCCAGGGTCAGACTCAGAGAAAGAAAAAGAGTTAGCACTGGTGACCAGTAGTTATGTTTACTAGCTATTTGTCTTCTTAACTGTTCTAGCCACAAGCTGGAAGGAGCTCTTAGATGCCAATGCAGTAAATAGGGGCTTCTAATATCCCAAAAGTTTAAGACAGCCTGTCTTTGTAAAGCAAATTTGTGTTTAGCCTGAACCTGGGAGAAGCTGAGGTCATTCAGTGAGCTCATTTTTTTTTCGATTTGGTGCCCTTCACCGCGCTAGAGAAAGCAAGTGAATAGCGGGAATTTATTGCCAAGAGAATCACCTCATGCCCCCTGGAAAGACAAGAAAAAGACATTTAGCTTATACAAAAAAATGGAGAAGAAGAAGAAGAATCTTAGCTCTAACAATGGCAAATGGAGTTGGAATGATATCATTAATTTATTCCTTCAACAGATATTTATTGAACAACTACTATGCTTAAGGCATTGTGCTAGAATCACTAAAAGTTTCAGGGTCCCTGCCTCCAAAAGGCTTTAGTATGATTGGAAAATAATCCACATTACAATACAAAACAAAAAAATGGCTCAAGAGATAGACCACTCTACTCAAGACACATGTTGTTTAGATTCAGTGTCTTTAAACTAGTACAAATTAGGCCAGTGCCTAGTGGTGGAAATTTGCATTTTGTCATTAAGAATAGCTTTCTTTGTATTTAACATTCTAAAGTTTAAATTAACATCTCGTGTCCAAGTGGCAAGTGCATGCTTCCCTTCTCCACTGCATTTCTGTAGCAAGTAGAATGATAACGATGATAAACTGAATTTAACTCATTCAGTAGAGGAGTAGTGATTATAGAATATGTATTTAAAAGTTTGTAACTCTGGCTTAGAGTGTGTTACTGACACTGAATTTTCTCTTACAGGAGGCAAAGGGAGATTTTTCTAGGTGAGTTTACTTTTTTTTTTTTGCTTAAAAAAAGTCTTCTTTTGCTTCTCTTTTAAGAAAACTGTTCTGTCTGTCCTTTTGTGGAAGGACATTTAATAATTTGTATTAATATTGTGTGTTAATAATGAGATCCAACTCGCAACTTGTCAACTGAAGCACACAGATTAGGTGTGGAAAACATAGTCATAGAAAGCAGTATATTCTATACTAAATCAAAAACCCAGAGCCTACTGAAAAGCCAAGATCAGAATCTAGTTTTACAAATGGCCATCATCCCAAGGTTTGACAGGTTGGTCGTCCCAGTGTCTCCATGATATCTTCAATAACTACTGTGGTGTGAACTTGATTGCAGATAAACCTGCGGTCCCAACAAACATATATATATGGATGCCTTGTCTTCTCTCAATTATAGTCTCTGATCCTCAAGGACAAAATGCTATTCCATAGAGAGATTTTTTTCATAAAAGTGTTAAAGCATAAATACTCCACTTCTACTTTTCTTCCTTCTCAGAATATTACTTTGGAGATAACATGAGTAAAATTAACTGCTGGGAAACCTTTGAAGTGCTTTGATAACTATATAGAGCTGCCAGTTTTAATCTTGTTATTCATTTCTTCAAGCAGTGCCCATTTAGCCACATGGCTGATACTGATGAGCAAGTTTCTTCTTGTGATTACTGGGGCCTTCACAGAATAGAAGGAGCCTTGGTGGCACAGTGATTAAGCACTTAGCTGCTAACTAAAGGTCAGCAGTCTGCACTTACCAGCTTCTCCATTTGAGAAAGACGTGGCAAGTCTGCTTCTTTCAAGATTACAGCCTTGGAAACCTTATAGGGCAATTCTTCTCTGTCCTATGGGAGCACTATGAGTCAAATCAAATCAACTTGATAGCAGTGGGTTCACAGACTAGAGGGCTGTAGCCTTCTACCAGTAGAGCTGTCTTCTCAAAGACAAACATTATTCCCAAGATTCTGTTTATTGAACTCCTCTGAGGAAAGTCCAGGGTAGCCCATTCTTTAAAGTCAAGTCTAGAGGCAAAAAAAACCAAAGAAACCAAAGCACATGTACAGGAAAACAAAAGATTGAGGCATGTGATTCTGGCCCATGAATAGGAAAGTAGCATGTTGGTGTTAAGAAGAAATACAAATCATACCTCTACTCCATCACATAACTTTGTATGTTTTCTCATGCTTTGAGAGATTTGATCTGTAAATATGCTGTTCCAGTTTGTGGTCTTACTATACTTGCCTGTTTTCATCAAGCTTATGCATCAACTAATTTCTCGGGTCTTAGCTGTTTTCTCTTTGTTCTTCTTACGTACTTGTAAGTCAGTCTAACAAAACCTGATTATTTTATAGTCTGAAACAGGTGCTGATGACTTCTTTCTGTATAGGGCCTGATAGTAAATATGTTAGGTTTTGCTGGCTGTGCAATCTCTGTAACAGCTCCTCAACTCTGCCTTTGTAAGTACAAAAGCAGCCAACAGCAATAGGTATACAAATAGTTATGGTTGTGTTGTGTTAAAACTTTATTTATAAATAAAGTATAAACTTGAGTTTTATACAGTTTTCATATATCACAAAATATTATTCATCTTTTGATTTTTTTCCCCACCATTTAAAATTATGAAAGCTTTTCCTCATTCACAGGCCATACAACAACCGGAAGGACCCGATTTGGCCAGTGGGTTGTAGTTCGCTGGCCTCTGATCTAAAACAGAGTCTTTTGGCTCAGTTTGAATACTTGCGTAAGGAGACCTCCAGGACTGCCTTTATTTATTTATGTTTCTCAAGTTCTTGGTATAAAGCAGAAGTTGTCAATTTAAAATAGGTAATAACTGTCAAGAGCCTCAGCAGAAAACCTTATACATTGTAGGTGCCCAAGAACTGTTTACTAAATCTGTTGTTGAATGAAGCATTTCGGGTTATAGCCACTCAGCTTTGCTGTATTTCATTTCTTTTTTTTTTTTTTTTTTCACTATTTTATCCTCTTAATTGGGCACTAGAATTTTGGGGTTTTGATAATTACAGGTCCAAATCTACTTTCAAAGAATTCCAGAGGCCTGTAAAAAATTGTTTAAAAACCACAGAGCCAGTAGATTCCTGTGTCTGTCTGCTCACTCTGAAGATACGTTTTTCCCCTCGTTTTTTGCCAGCCCTGACCTCTGCTGTAAATATTGTTTATTTTTGAGAGCACCCTGACAGGATGGAATGTGAACTGGGAACGGTATAAAGGACCCCACAGACCATGGGAACGTGTGGCCACATGGATTGCCATGGAGCAGGAAGTGCAGGCCTGGCCTGGCAGTAACTCATGGTCCCTAATGAGCTTGTGGAATGCCAGCTCGTTGGCTTCAGAGCAACAAAGCGTCCTGGTTTAGCTTCATTTGTCAAAGTGCTGCCTAACAGTTTGTTTGTAACAGCTACTGCCTGGGGAGAGAAATAGCTGTCAGGGGAGGGAGAGGTCAGACACCTTACCTAAAAGGTCAGTTTACCTCGAAGCATAAAATCCACATAATGGAAGCTGGAGGTGATCTATTGCATTGGATTCCCTGATAAACACACATTTTCTGTAGCAGGCTCAGTGTTAGTAAAACTCCCTTCAGAGGTCTAGGGAAAATAGTATCCTTGAGTAGCCTGGAGTTTGGGAATAAGACAAGTCCTCCTAAATCCTTTGTGCCTTTTTCCATCTGTATCTGGTTGTTGTTATGTGCCATCGAGTCAGACCCCACTCATAGCGACCCCTCCTTGGGTTTCCAAGGCAATATCACTACGGAAGTAGATTGCGCAACCTTCCTTCCAAGGTGTGGCTGGTGGGTTTGAACCTCCAGCCTTCTTATTAGCAGTCAGGTGCCTTAGGCACTACGCTGTCAGAGCTTCTGTCTATATCTGGGGTGATCCCAAAAGCCTCTGAAGTTGACGACATTTGGTTTGATGGCTAGCTGAACATTAGGTATTTTAGATGTCCCATTATCACAGTTTACTGTGATAAAAAGTCACTTTTGCTATGCTAATAACTAACAAATGACTGTATAAATTTTAATTGTATGTAACTGAATGGCTTTGACTTGTATATGTGCCCTGTAAATAAACTACATTTTCCTGAGCAACATTAATACAATAAGATGTCAATTTAGAACCTGTAGGCTTTTATACTAACATGGGGCCCAGGGTTTGATTCTAAAGCATTCTAGAATCTAGAAGATGAATAACTTTCCAAATAAAGGTCCCACACTAAAGGCAAAGGAACTCTTTCGTAAGCTGTGGATCCTGCATCTCTAATTTACAGACAGACTGTTTTATTTCGAATGCTATTGTGTTCTCTCAGATTGTATATTTACATTTTAATAAATATATACAAATTACATTTATGGGGAATGAGTATAAAAAAGTTAAAACTATGGGAATGGTTTGCTTGAAGTACAAGAGGGGAAAAAAGGTCATTTTAACAAAGAGAGAGAAGTCAAAAGTGCTGACAAATTTTAAAGAAAAAGAGAACTAGGGAAGAACAACCCCAGGTCATGTCTATTCTTTCTCATGAAAATTGTACAAAGTTTCTGCTGATGCTTTTGCACTCTCTTTTTGCTTGGCAGATCCCTGGAGGTTTATTCTTCTTACGTAACTCCTTTTTCAGCTAATACAAATGCTTGCTTCCATGTTTTACTGAACTTAATGGTGAAATGTTGAATTCCATTTACTGTGATAGAAAGTCACTTTTGTATTGCTGAAAGAAAATAGCTAAGATATAGATAGAGAAATAGTGTTGTCCATGATAGGGAGAACTAGGCACCATACATGATCATATTCAACCATGCGGTGTGCAAACTAGTAAGATTTCATTAAAAATCGAGGAAATAGTCTTATCTAAAAAGAGTATTTGCTCACTTTTATTATTTTCCTTAGCACAACATGTAGTAATTGGATTTCATTGCCTGGTGTGTGTATATATGTAAAAAGGAATGTCCATCAACAGTCAGGAAATCAGTAGAGTTGACGTTTCTGTTTAGAAACAATTGAATAGCCAGCCACGAGCCATTAACCAAGATAGCTATATAGGCAGGTCTTAGGTGGAGAAGGGCAACACAGTTTTTTTTTTTTTTTTTTTTTAAAAAAAAGGTACTCAGACATTTGATACTCACCGTTAACATTACCCAACTAACAGACATTATCTATGGTTTTGTTGTTGTTGTTGTTAGGCACTGTCTAATGGATTTTTAACTCATCTATGTGACAGAGTAAAACTGCCCTATAAGATTTTCTTGGCTAAAATCTTTATGGAAGCAGATCACCTGGTCTTCTTCCATGGAGCTGCTAGGTGGGTTCAATCCACTGACCTTTCAGTTAGCAGCCAAGTGTTTAACTATTGCACTACCAGGGCTCCTTATCTATGTTTTACCCATAATTTTTTTCATGACGAAGCCTTCAGTGGGTTGAGTACTGCACACTGAAGTTTCCTGTTTAAAACAGAAAGAAAGAAACCCTTGGGTTATTGTAGAAAATTAATATTCTCTTCCTTAAAAAGGTCAGTGCATGGTAGATGTCATTTAATCAATTTGATAAGACATCTGAATTGCCTAGCTATATTTTAATTGGAAGGTTATTGCTATACTGAGTGAGATATTACTTAAGAGAACTAAATTTTTTTATTTGTTTGTTCCTGTAAAGGAACCTTAAGTGGAAACCCTATTGATCAGTCTTTCCCCTGATTTGGAGAGTCACTCTTTACCTTCTCTCAGCTATTCTGATCTTTCAAAAAAGCCTGCCACCAAAAAAAAAAAAAAAAAAAACAATAAAAACCTTTTTTTTTTTTTTTTTTGGCAAAACCAGTGAAGTGATTAAAATTACTTTTCTCCAAAGAGCACAAATCATGAATACCAAAATCGTACTACCTTTAGTAGACAGAATCATCCATACATTGATAGGGACTAGTCAGAAAAGCATCTGTCATGTAGATTTTTTTTTTTTTTTTGGTGAACAAGATTTATTGGAACCAGATCACTA